GCCGGGCAGGGATGGCAGGGAGCGGGCAGGGAGCTGGGCAGAGCCGGGCAGGGATGGCAGGGAGCGGGCAGGGAGCTGGGCAGAGCCGGGCAGGGTTTGCAGCGCTCGGGGTGGCCCCAGAGCAGCGATCCCGGAGGGACGTGCCGCAGACGTGCCGGGCACGGTGTGAGCGCCCGGCTGTGCGGGATGAGCAGTCCTGGCTGGGTTGCTCTGCAGGGATGGTGGGGACAGGCCAAAGGTGCCTCTGGAGTGGAGCAGGCAGAGCTGAGCTCGGCAGAGCTCCGGCAGCGAGGGGATCCAGGGATGAGGCTGCACGGTCGAGTCGGGGCTGGTTGGGTGAGAGCGAGCCAAGGTTTGGGATGAGTTTGGCTCACAGAGGTGCAGAAGAACAGGGAAGGCTGAGACTGGGGATTAAGAGGCTTTAGGAGGGTTTACACAGGTGGGAAAAGCCCCGGAGCTGGGCAGCTCCTCCAAGGAAAGGCTTGGCTTGTTCCCGGTGGTCCGTCCCCCGAGCCTCTTCCCGAAGAGTGCCGGCGGTGCCGGGCCGGGGTCGGGCCGGGGTCGGGCCGGGGAGGTGCCCGGTGCTCCGGGGCCGGGCTCAGCCCGGGGCTGCCCTGGGCTTGAGGCGGTGCCCATTGGGCATGTTGGGAATGGGAGCAGTTGAGCAATTGCCTTTATCACCCGTAAAAGTCACTGCAAGGGAGCGCGGGGAGCTCGGCGCTGATTCATGGCTCAAGATCCCTCTGTAAAATACGAGGAGGCTTCAACATCTGATAATTATCCCATAAACATCAGTCAGAGCCTCGGCCTGGCCCTGCCGGGGCAGCTCGGCTGGGATTTGTTCTGGGGGGATAAAAGAGCATCTCTGGGAGGATGGTGCAGCCCTGGAGAGCTCTGGACCCATGGGGGACAGCAGGATGGCAGGAGGAGGAAAGGGAGGGGGGGAAATGGTGGATTGCAGTCATGCCTGGGATTTCGGGCAGTGCTGCTCCGTGTCCTGCTGGGGCCAGGCCACCCTGTGACCACCTCACTCCCTGGCAGGTGTTTCCCACCTGAGGGAATCTGGGAATAACAAGTTATGGGCTCTGGGAGAGGATGAGGAGGGAGGGTGGCCCCAGAGCTGGCCCTGGGATGGAGGAAGCCTGAGGGAAGAGGGTCTGGAGTGGGAGTTATACTCGGGGTTTGATTGTCAGGAAGGAAATGAGGGAAGGGGAAGGTTGCAGCTTGTTCTGAGCTCTTAAATTTTGGCTGCAGCACATAAAAAGGGGCTGCACTTTCATCCCGGGTTCAGGGAGGCAGCGGGGACTTCTCCTGTCACTAGAGCCCTTCTTGCCTCCCTGGGCCAAACCTCCCTGTCACTGTCCCGGGGTTTCCTCCTTTCCCTTCCAGTTCCTGGCCCTGGACACGCAGATGCTGATGGGGAACCGCCGGTACTCACTGAGCCCCGAGGAATACATCTTTGGAGCCCTCAATATCTACCTGGACATCATCTACATCTTCTCCTTCTTCCTGCAGTTCTTTGGCTCCAGCCAGGAGTGAGGGCAGCGGGGCAGGATGCTCCCTGTGCCGGCAAATGTGAGGGGTTAAATTGAGAAGCAGAGGTGAAAGGGTTCAAAACGGCCAGCCTGACCCAGTCCCTCCCTTTCTGGTCCATCCAACGCCCTGAGGAGCCCCAGGCCCCTCCCGCAGCTTTGTGCATTTGCTGCCAGGCCTCTGTGACCCAGAGAACAAAGCAGGGCTTCGGTGTCGTGTCCCTTCTGCTCCCCCTCTCCCGCCCAGCCCAAACCAGTCCCGAGGCTGGGGCAGGAGACCGGGACCTTCCTGGCCCCAGGGGCTGCTGGAGCTCTCTGAGTCCTGCCCATCACAGGGTGAAAGTGCTGTGACAAAACAGGGCAGCAGAGCAGGGAATTTGCTTAGATCCTGGCAGGAAAAGCAGCTGAGCCAAGGGAAAAGCCTTAGGGAATCCTTGCATTGCCCTGTTTCCCACAACCCATTGGATCTTGGTGGCCTCTGCGCTATTCCTGGTGGCTCCTGCTGTTGGAAACGTGGAGTGTGGGATCACGTAGCTGGATTTCAGTGCTCCAGGCACAGAGAACCTGTTTGTTCAGGACGTGCAGCTCTCTGAGGTCATCCCTGGTGCCACTGCAGGGAAAATTCCCCTGGATCCCTTGCATGTGGCTGAGTGCCCTTCCCTTCCCTTCCCTTCCCTTCCCTTCCCTTCCCTTCCCTTCCCTTCCCTTCCCTTCCCTTCCCTTCCCTTGTCCCACCCAGGGGAGTGTGCTGGTTCTCCTTGGAGTGTGGCTCCTCAGTGAGGGATTGGGATCCCAGGGAAGGAATTTTGCCAGGAAATGGCAGAGAAGAGATGGAGGAGGCTGAGTTTCCGTGCTGGGAAATGCCATTCCATGTGGGAAATGGGCTGGGATGCTGTGACCCACCCCGAGGCTCTGACACCCTCACAGAACTGTCTTGCTTGCTCCAAATTAGCATTGCTAAGGGGTTATTCCAGGGACGGAGGCCACTGGAACAGCAATGTTCCCTCTCCCTGGCTGTTTTCCCTTTCTCCTCTCCCAAACTGGAATGTCAGCGCGGGCTCTGGATGTGCTCAGGTAACTTTCCACCGTGGCCATGCTCACATTCCCTCTTTGGGGCTCAGCTGGCTGATCGTGGGCTGTAAAGCTCCCCGGGGAGATAAGGGGCCTTTTGCTCTCATTCCAAGAGTGATCCTTCCTGCAGATAGGAGCTGGTATCTCCCATCTCGCTGGGAATGCCGGCCAGTGCGTCAGGGAGCTGCCTCCAGCAATTCCTGCTGCAGAGGCTCTGCCAGAACGCTGGAACGTTCCTGCTCCTTCTGCCCTGGCTTTTACCCCGCACATGTCCTGTCCCCCTGCCTCACGTGTCCAGGGAAAGTTACTGTGCAGGGAATGGAAATGCTCCGGCCCCTCCGCGGCTGCAGCGATGAGCGGGAGTGATGCCTTCCCCTAAAACACCCCCCAGAAAAACCCAACCAGACAAAAAAATCTTATCCAGGTCAAAAGAACACCAACCAGACAAAAAAAAATCTTATCCAGGTCAAAAAATTCCTAACCAGACAAAAAACTCCCAGTCAGATACAAAAAACCCCAACCAGACAGAAGCCCCACAACCAGACCAAAAAAATCTCTGCTGACCGGACAAAAAATAAAAATGCCCTAACCAGAACAAAAATATCTCATCCAGATCAAAAATCTCCCAACCAGACAAAAAGAAAAAAAAAAATCCAACAAAAAAAAAAAAAAAAAAAACCCAAAACAAAACAAAA